AAAAATAAAAAGGATGTATTAATAAAAATGATCATACACATGTACGTACATGCACAAATCCTGTAAAAGCTTAAGGCCGCTATAATTGTTAACAAGGAAGTGTATACATATATAAAAGGAAGACAAGTAATATAAAAGGAAAAAACGAAGGGGATGGGATTGAGCCCACGTCATTTACATAGAAGGTTGATGTTTTTAATCTAATTTCATCAGGCAGATCATTCCACAGCTTTGTTCCTACAAACGAAATACAAAATTGCCTTTGCGTTGTCTTACATTTTGGTTGATAAAGTAAGCCACTTTCTTTTCTCCTAGTTGCATATCTGTGCTGTATCATCTGACAATAATCCACTAAAGAGTGTGGTAAAAAAACCTTTTACCAAATCGTACATAAATGTTGATACAAGAAGTTCATGAAGTTGAAAAATATTTAAAATGTTTAGACTTTGAAAAAGAGCTTTGGAGTCTGTTCTAAGTGGACTGAATGTATTTGCTCTCATTGCCATTTTTTACTTAAATATATACAATTTAGATTAAGTTTGTAAGTGCTCCCCCATACTTCTACTCCATAAGAAAGGTGAGGCTGTATAAAAGCCTTATATAATAACACAAGTATATTCTTGGGAATAAAATGTCTCAGTTTAAATAGAATACCTACTTTCTTTCTTATGCATTTGTTTATTGTCTGAATATGTTCTTTCCATGAAAGGTGACAATCAATTTCAATTCCTACAAATGATGCAATAGATACCTCTTTAATATCTGATCTTGATATTCTCACAGATCCCTTTTTGTCTATTGATCTACCTTTGGATTTCATAATCATGTAGTTTGTTTTCTGTAGGTTAATTGTGACTTCATTTGCATTACACCATTCCTGCACCTTCATTAAATTTTCACTTACAATTTCTAAATCAATTTCTTTTTGTCTAGGATTAAAAGTATGAAAAAGATTTGAGTCATCAGCAAATAATCTGAAATTGAAAAAGTTTGTGGAGTTAGGTAAGTCATTTATATATAGTAAAAATAATGTTGGTCCAAGAACAGAGCCTTGAGGGACACCACATGTTATATTCAATTTCAAAGACATTTTGTCTTTATATTGTATAAACTGTGATCGTTTACACAAATAATCTTTAAACCATTGCAAGGCTAACCCACGTATTCCATAGTGTGACATTTTTTTGAGGAGAATGCTGTGGTTTATAGTATCAAATGCCTTTTGAAAGTCAATAAAGATGCCAACTGTTGTTCTACCTTCATCAAAGTATTTCAATAGAGTATTTGCAAGATTAATCAAAGATAACTTAGTGCGATGTTCTTACGGAAACCATACTGGTGTTGAAACAAGATATTATTTGCTTCCAAATAGTCAATTACACGATTATTTATTATTTTCTCAAAGATTTTACCCAGTATAGGTAAAACTGAAATAGGTCTGTAATTACCAGCTAGATCTTTTGGCCCCTTTTTATAAATAGCTTCTTTTGCTACTTTCAGTGCGTCTGGAAATTTACCTCTTTCTATGGAAAGATTGAAAATATATGTTAATGAGCTTGAAATGTATAGGGCAGCATCCCTCAACAATCTTGCCGGCAAATTATCATAGCCACATGCTTTTTTTGTATCTAAAGTCTGTAAGTGGCATTTCAATTCATTCTCTGTTATTGGTTTTAAAAATAGTGATTTTTCTGTTCTATATCCTAAATATTCTGTAAAGTCAGAATTCACTGGTGGTATTTCCTTTGCCAACTTTGGACCTATGTTTACAAAAAAGTTGTTAAATTCGTTAGCTATTTCATTGTCAGAAGTTATCACTTTATTTTCTCCACCATCTGAGCTTAATAATTTCTCTACATTGGTCACTTTATTTTTGACATTTCCACCACTCAACAAATCGTTAATTGTTCTCCACGTTTTACGACTATCATACTTATTAATGAAGAAGAGGTTACTATAATATTGTCTCTTTGCATTTCGTAGAACTGTAGTTAGAACATTTCTATACCTCTTGTATTCTTCCTCGTCTTTCTGTTGGAAATTTGATGCCTTTAGTTTAGAATACAACTTGTGATTTTTCTTGACTGATTTTAAAATAGTATTAGTCATCCATGGTTTTTTCCCAGCATTTTTCCCCCTTTTTTTAGGTTCTTCGAAGTTGATGATATAATTGGTGCATGCTTGTCACAGACTTGCGTAAACAAGTCTTAAAATACAGAGTACGACTCATTTAATTTTGTACAACCACTTACATTGTTCCAATCAATTTTACCTAGATCATCATGGAATTTATTAATATCATAATTTCTGAAGGTACGAAACACAGACATTTTGTGGCTTGTTTTACTTGCCTTTCTAAGATGCTCAAATGCAAGCTCAAATATGATTGATTTAATAAAAATGAAATGATTTTAAACAATTCATAGTGGATTTATACCGGTTATAATCATTTGTACTTCTTTTCTAGTGTAAAACCCTAGACATTAACATTGACAATGACAATGACAATTTATTCTCATGTCACCCACATTGGGGTATCGGGGAAGTTTACAATCAGTTTGAATTTGTCAATTTAACACTGTAAAATGTACAATACAAATCGAATTAATGTCAATCAGTACAAAATTACACTATCAACAGTAGTGAGAAAAAATATGATGATAATGATAATAATAATTATAGCAATATTGATAATAATAATTATAATAATTAAAACACAAAACGATTATAATAATTACAGCGATAATTAATGACGAAATTAATGGAAGCAATTGAAAAAGAAAGTTATTGGTATCAGCGTATACGTAGTCTTTGCCGGGTGGTTTAAACACATGGAGAGAGGAAGGGGGTCGTGGGATCGAGCCCCTTTGGAAAGACAAACATCTATATATGCCTCTCTTCACCTAGATGTTGTACCGGTAGAAAAGGATTCCTTGAATTTTGTGAGCACCAGTAGCCTAGCCGGGGTTTACACGTGATTATAGAGCACATTGCATTCTGTGCATGCGCTATAAACATTTGCAATATTATTTATATTAAAATTCCCATTCGTATATGAACGTTATTTTTTCCAAAAGGGGCTTCCCCTCACACGACATGCTTCTCGATAGGCCTTTCGATTGACATTTTGATTATTGTACAGTTTTTTTTTAATTGTTTAGTGATAGTCATTTAGTACATTATAGAATTATACTGTAAACAAATTGAATTCTTTCTCACTATTCCAGGTGAGGTTGTTCATATCACAGTGGTGGCTGTGAGATACACCAGTGTAGGTAGTTCATCTAGTGATTGGCGGTATCAATGTTACCCAAGTGATCCAGATAGAGACGCTTCACTATCATTTGGTCGATCGGCACCCATAACAACAGACAGATCACCACCACCAGATGAGAGTCATTCGTCTATATATCCATATGTCAGAGTGGTCATATTTCCTACAGGGGATGGATGGAATAGAGACGGTTTCGGTCCTTTCTACTGTGAGGCTTCAAAACCTGATCGAGACGTCACAAGGGTTACTACATTTCTCCAACGATATGATGGTAAGATTATTACTCCATTCACTATGATAAGTAAAGGATTTCTTTATTTCTTCAAAGCCGGGGGGGGGGGTGTACTCACATATGAAGACAAACGGGGGTGTGTCGCTCTAATTAGTCACTTTTTTCACAAAAAATCCCTAAACATGGGTCCCATTTTTAACAAAAACACCATTAAAAATGGGTCCGTTTTACATGATGCAAAGAGAGGTAGGGTATCTTGGATTATGAACACTTGTGTGAAGTATCTTTCGATATACATGTAGTTTATTTACTTTAATCTGCATTCAAAATGATGCCCTACAGTGGAAAAAAGTTGCGTACAGCAGAGAAAGACGGTTTGATGGAGACAAGGAGTGAGAGTGATTCAATAAAATGGCTCCGCTTATTACGCTTTCACACACGTTGAATATTGAATGCCTGAGAATGGCAATATTACAAAGGCTTAATATTTAACATGTAAAATGAAGAAAAAAACTGTTATCATTGGCAAGACATGCGCGGTATTGAGTTAGGCCTAAATCAAGGCCATTTATGTTGATGATATTTACTTACATTCAAATGGTCAAAGGAAAGTCCAAACAGATTTTGAAGGAAAAAAATATTGCCATGTTCTCATTTGGAAAATTATCTTAACTTGTAATCGAAAAAATATCAACAGGAAAAGATTTATTTCAATATATGCAAGTGAATATATTTCATTATTACAAACCCCCTTTTCCAGAGAATAAAATCATGTAAAGCCTATTTGATCCCCTATCTTTGATTGAGTCCAATATTTTTAGCATTCTGCTTTTCCTCCGTATATTACTTCACTCCACAGATGATGAATAAGCGTACATTATTGTTACAATATCGGAGCAAGAGTTGCATGCGCATGCTGGCTACAATCGCTGTAAAGTGTCAATTAACTACTATCAAAAGTAAATTTGAACAAAAGACCTGCATATAATGTAAAATACGTTGCCAGTATTGCGTTTAAACACCAATTATATTCAAAACTTAGATTATCCTTCATTTTGACTTGCTAAATTTTGCATCATCATTGGAATTCGGTAATTAAATTGATCCTTTGAATCATTTAAATTTCACTGTAGTTCGATTTTTTTACTGTATATAATAATGATAGTATTGACTTGCGTTTGCGTTGAAGCAGATAAATAGCATTCAACTAGCATGAATATTGCACTCGTCTTCGACTCGTGCAATATTTGCGAGCTTAATACAATATATCTGATTTACCACTCAAGGGCATGTGCGGTCTCCTTTAGTGAGTCGCGCTTGACCTGTTTAAGTGTACTGCATCTAAGTTACAATTTTTGTTAAGTTAACTTATTATCCCTTGTAACAGCTAAATTCATATCAAGCGATGGCTTGTTTACAAAGACAGTTAATGTGAATGACACTGGAGTGATGTTTAGCATGACTAGGCGTTATTATCCTGATGCGAGTGCCAACATGATTACATGGATGAAAGATGGAAGTGAGGTTCTTACATCGTTTGTTGGGCAGACTCAGATCAGCTTCCTAAAACCAATCCAGACATCAGAACAAGGAATCTATGAGATCTACTATGAAAACGAGAGGTCTCAAAACAGAGGAGGACTATATAGACTCATCATCAGAGGTAATAAATGTTTGTGTAGAGTAGTGGCGGATCCAGGGGGGGGGGCCCGGGGGGCCCGGGCCCCCCCCCCCCCCTTGAGAAAAAAAATCATGTAAAATCAAGTGATTTTTACCTTTTTTGGGGGTTGGGCCCCCCCCCCCCCTGGCGCTCAAAGGGGGGGGGGGGGTGCAAATTGAAATTTTTTTGAGGATCAAAAAAAAAAAAATGTGCTCACTACCCCCCCCCCCCCCCCCCCCCCCCCCCCCCCCCCCCCCCCCCCCCCACTGAGCGAATTTTTGGCCCGGGCGCGTTTTTCAAATTTTCGGGAGCAAAAAAAAAAAAAAAAAAAAATATTGTGCCCCCCCCCCCCCCCCCCCCCCCCCCCTTCCACTGAGCGACTTTTCGGCCGGCGCGATTTTCAAATTTTCGGGAGCAAAAAAAAAAAAAAATTGGGCCCCCTCCCCTAAGAAATCCTGGATCCGCGCCTGGTGTAGAGTTTTCTTTTAGATAATGTCCAAGTCACATCTTTTGGAATGGCACATTACCGTACGATGGACAGCTTGTTCCCCTTTGCAAATTTAATTCAAAAGATGTATGCAACTTTAAACGATAACATTCAGATGTCAGCATGGCATGATTTGTGATGAGATTTTTATAGGAGGGTAGTTTGAAATTAGCCGTTTATATATTCAGAGTGTGACAGAGCCAATTCAATACACTATAGTTCTAATAATGTTCAATCATGAAAGCTTCTATTTTTTTAAAACTCTGCTTATCTTCTATCCATACTCATCTTTGTTATGATGCAGTCTTTAGTGACATAAGGTTCATAAGGTTCATATTTACATGTATTTTACATGATTGTTTCTTCTCTCTCCCTATCTTATTTTAGAATGCCCTGCTGGTAAGTGGGGTCCCACTGAGTGCTATGGTATCTGTGATAAATGCTACAATGGTGGAGTCTGTGATGACAAGTCTGGTCTATGTATCTGTCCTAACAACTTCAAGGGACCGAATTGTTTAGAAAGTAAGTAAGCCCGTAGAACTTCATTTGGAATTATGTTTATGTTTATCTGTTAAAAGATGAATAGAGGGAGATATTTCTGGTCTTATTCCATTGAAAATGATCATAGTAATGTCCATCTGTTTTTTTTTACATGTTCATTTCAAATATTCTGTCTTCTACCCGAAGTAGAGATAGAGTAATCAGAATAGTATTATACAGCATGTCTTTTGAAATTCTATTTTGTTTTCTTGTAAATCATCATTTTACCAGGAATCGTTTGCAAGAATAAAGTCTGTTTATCATTCATCATTCTGTTTAAAACAATTAGATTTGTGACCTTGTATAATGTATTATCTCTCATGTATTATCGACAGTCTGTTACATAAAATACTTTTTTAAAAGTGACCCTCTCTACCTGAGCTGCTGGTCATTCTACATATAATATATATGCACTGTACTTCACGTAAATTAATAAGAAAATATGAATGAAAAATGAATGAACGAAACAATGAGATACGACAGGGGAAATGATTTGTTTCCTTTTTTTCCTCAATATCATGCTGAATGTCTAAATAACAGTATTTGTTATGATTCAACTTTGCTCTCCATGATATTGGAGACGTTTATTCAATGTAGACAAAAATATTCATGGAGCATGAGACACCTTCGGTAATTTGGAAAGGAGATATTTAGGAAAGCAACCATACTTCTAATTTATCTCATGAAATATTATTTCTTAAGCAAGTCAGGCAAATTACGCAATTTTTTTCATTCAACAGTGCAACTATTTCTTTCAGTTTGTAGGAATGATGGTGGAAATCGATTTGGATTGAACTGCGAGTTTCAATGTTCATATAAGGATGATGCAATCACAAGATGTCAAGGGTATCTTTTTTGCCTACCTGATCCTTATGGATGTTCATGTGACGTCGGTGCTCATGGTCTTGCATGTAACACACGTAAGTCTTCCGATAGTCAATTCATTATGCTCAAATTATAATAGTGAAAATATATAGGCTTCATAACCATAAATCTACCATTCTAGTTTTTCTTGGACCATCAAAAGCAAATACCATCATAGAGCTGGATTTATGAGTGAGGTCAGGCGCAACTCAGTGGAGAAAAGAAGGAGAAGGAAGTAGAAGAAGAAGAAGTAGAAAAAGAAGAAGAATGAGGAGGAGGAAGAGGATGAGAAGGAGAAGAAGAAGAAAATTTAATAAGAGGAAGTTATTGTAACATGCACAATATTTCCTTCTGCTGAATGTATTATATAATTGTGTAAATCCTTATTTTGTATTTTGAATTCTTTTACAGTATGTACTGTTGGTACATATGGTCCAGGATGTTCACAGCCATGTCACTGTGGTTCATCATGTAACATCTATAGTGGAATATGTACAGGTGGGTGTCAGACTGGCTGGTCTGGGGACAACTGTCAAAGTAAGTCATGATCAGCAATGATAACCAAAAAGAATGACATAAATTATTTACCGCAATAAGATAAATTCAAATGTACACTGTAGCTTTGTAATATATTTCTTGTTATTGATTAACCCAAGTCTACACAAACCGGATCGCTCCTGTATTAAAGCCTACTGGAATAAGAAAATTAATTTGAAGTTATTATATTCGTTTTTGTAGACAAACCCATACCAAGCAGTGTTTTGGGGACTCCTCCTCCTGTGTATTCTATTTTCATTCTATGAAACATGAAGTTATCTAGTGAAATCACGGTTCAATTCAGGACCATATGTCATAATTGAAGTCAGTATATAGTGCAAAAGAAAAAATGAAATCATTAGTTACAAGGATAAGAATCTCATTTTGGTGACTTCATCTAATATATACCACTTGCCGGTGCTTGCTTTTAAAATTATAATTGTTCTTATCATTCTCAGTTCCAGATGAATGTGAAGATGCTTACTTTGGATCACAATGCACTGATAAATGCCATTGCTTAAATGATGAACCATGTGATAAACAGACTGGAGAGTGCCCTGAGCAGAAGTGTGCTGTAGGGTACAAAGTACGCAGTGGCCAGGTCAACTGTCAAGGTAAAATGATACTTTTCAATAAAGGGTACCGAATTTTCAATATCAATTCCTATTAATTTATCTCCATACTACATACAACATGTACACCAAGTAATGTGCAGTTTGCATGATACACCTGAATTTGTTTTGTGTGTATATTTTTGAACACTCATGAATACATGTTTTTACATTGGTCATATCAACCATATATATTTACAAAGTGCTGGAATAGCAAATACATCTATTTACATGGATACTCTGGATGAGGATTCTGGTATACAAATATTGACGTCTTTGAAGGGCAAGGTTACTATAGTGACTATTTCCCTAACGTGATCTTGAAACTGTACTGTGCCCCCAAGACAAAATTGTGGGGCATAATGCTGTCTCAAGAACTCTGAGGAGCTACATGTATGTATATTATTTAAACCGTGACGTTCATACATCAGCAGTCAATATTTGTTTCATATATAGCATTCCTTGTGTGGATTGTTGGTAAAGTACTATTCATCTACCATATGTTTCTATTATGTGAGACCATTTTGTTATGTCTTTTGCCAAACAAAGGGGGTGATACCGCATGCATTATGTTTTCGGGTTGTCCGCCCGTCCGTCCGTACGTTCGTCCCGCTTTCTCGTTGTCGGTCGCAATATATCAAGAACCACTTAAATAAACTTAAAAATGTATGGCAGTATGTTTGACCATCGGAAGCCGATCTGATTGGATTTTGGATTAACTTGATCTAAAGTCAAATGTCACATAGCTCAACTGATGAAATTCCAGGTATTGGCTTCGTTATCGCGATGGCTCAAGAAACATTAGAGATATGAGGCTCAAACTTGTTGATAATATGTATCATCATAGGAAGACGATCTGAATAGATTGTGGGTACATGTAGGTCAAAGGTCGAAGGAAATAGAGGTCAACTTCTGAAATTCCAACTATTTGCTTCATTATGCAAAATCTCTTGAACCACTAGATATATGACGCTCAAACTTGGTGGTAATATGTATTACCATAGGGAGACGAAATTATCAGATTCGGGGATTGAAGGTCAGAGGTCACAGAATTCAATTTCTGAAATTTCATGTATTAGCCAATAATTGTGACAGAGAAACCTCAATAACCACTAGAGATATGAGACTAAAACTAGAAGATGGTATGTATTACCATAGAAAAACGATCTGATAAGATGGTGGGTACATAGGTCAAATGTCATTAGGTCAACTCCTAAAATAACATGTTTTAGCCTTGATATTGCGATACCTCAAAAACCACTAGGGATATGGGATTCAAACTTGGTGATAGTATGTATCATAATTGGCAGACAATCTGATTCGATTTTTGGTGTGGTTGGAAAATGTTCAAAGGTCATAGAGGTCAATTTCTGATATTACAGGTTTTATCATTGTTATTGCGATATTTTAAGAACCGTTAGAGGTTTGAGCCTCAATCTTGGTGATAGTATGTTTTAACATAGGAAGACGGTCTCGTTTATAGCTTTAAGATAAGTAAGTTAAAGGTCGCTGAAATTAAAAATTTTAAGCTATATCTAATTTAATGGTGACAATATTACAAAAGGAAGATAATTTAATTACATTCTGGGGCTAGTATAACAGGCGCGGATCCAGGATTTCTTAGGGGAGGGGGCCCAACTTTTTTTTTTTTTTGCTCCCGAAAATTTGAAAATTGCGCCGGCCGAAAAGTCGCTCAGTGGGGGGGGGGGGGGGGTACAAAGCACATTTTTTTTTTTGCACCCCCCCCCCCTTGAGCGCCAGGGGGGGGGGGGGGTCCAACCCCCCAAAAAGGTAAAAATCACGTGATTTTACATGATTTTTTTCTCAAGGGGGGGGGGGCCCGGCCCCCCCCCTGGATCCGCCACTGCTAGTATATGTTAAGATCATAGTCGTCAATTGATTATTTGACTGTAGGCTTTTTGTTTTCATTGTGATATGTCATTAACAAATGTAACCATTTCCTCTACTGAATTTAAGGTGGAGGCATATAGGAGACGCAGTCGCATTTGTTTTGTTTATTTATATTGCAGAGTGTGAAGGGGGTACCTTTGGAAGGGGTTGCCTTCAGCAATGCCATTGTTCTTCAGAGGCTTGTGAAACAGAGAGGGGTCTTTGCAATGGACAATGCCTTGATGGCTGGATTGAACCATATTGTCAAAGTAATTATACCCATCATAATTTTGTTTTGGTTTGTCTTTTTGTTCAGCTGAACAAAAATTCAGAACTAAAACAACCTCATAGTGCTTATGGAACTATATGTGCGTATATTTCATTATTTTCAGATTTCCTTTACAATCTTGTTCCAGATGCTTGTGGAGCAAGTACTTTTATTTCAGTTTAAGCTAATTTATTTGTAGATCGCCATGAGCATCAGTGCATCGGCGCTGTATAAATAGCCATTATTATGATGATTAATACTCTTTTTTCTTGTTGCAGACACTTGTACACAGGCGCGTACGCAGGATTTTTTCAAGGGGGGGGGGGGGGGTTTAACATTTATAAATCGGTCAGAAAATTTCGCAAAGACTCAGCCGGCCGCTGAATAAGCGGGGGGGGGGGGGGGGGGGGGGGGGGGGGGTAAGAGGTCACTTTTTTTTTTTTGGTCTCGAAATTTGGAAATTTGACATTTTGCTCAGTTGGGGGGTGGGGGTAAGGTCACCTTTTTTAGGTCGGTCGTGGGAATAAAGGTTTTTTTTTTTAAATTTTTTGTTTAGGGGGGTTTACATACATAACATTACCAAAGTGGGGGGGGGGGGATTAACCCCCAAACCCTCCCCCCTGCGTACGCGCCTGCTTGTACATGTAAACATAAGTTCCCAGAAATTTGAAAATCGCGCCGGCCAAAAATTCGCTCGGGGGTGGGGGCGTTGAGCACGATTTTTTTTTGGTTTTTTTTTGGGGGGGGCCTCGATGATTTGAAAAATTGTTCCCACCCCTTGAGCGCCAGGGGGGGGGGGGCATCTCCAAAAAAAGGTAAAATTCACGTAAAAAATGTAAAAATACATATTTTTTTCCCAGGGGGGGGGGGGGGGGGGAGTGGTCGGGCCCCCGGGCCTCCCTGGATCTTCCACTGCTTGAAAGTTATACTAATATTATGAAATGACTAGGTTGCAATCTTCTATTGCTCTAGGTATACTTAGTTTTAATGTTTAGTATTATTGATTGCTTTTTGTACAGGAATATCAAAATTATCATTAATTAAACATTCTTTCTAATATTAACGAATTCATATTTCTATTTATGAATATTGTGATTAGTCAATATTTTACAAAGTGTAAATAGGATCTTTTTTTTCATTTGTATTGTCGATGAAATACATAGAGCAAGCAGATATATTAAGAACATGATTGAGTTAGAGTTTTGTCTGTGTTGATTGTTTTTAATAGATTTGCATTGTTCTTGACAGGAATATCAAGATTGGTTCCAGTGAGAGTGAACCCATACCAACCATCTAGCTTCACATGTTATGTTGAGGGTATCCCACCTCCTGATTCATCTTCAGTTGATCTTTCTAGACGCACTGGAAACACCGACGACAAGACAGGAATCACCAAGAGGTCTAGCACTGTCTCAGGGTCAGAACGAGCTGTTGTCTTTGATGTTAACAGTGTCTTTCCACAGGAATATGGGGGATACCAGTGCTTTCTCTATGTTGAAAATATAAGCTATCCCAGTACGCTTATTACCAACGCAACTTATGGTACGTGAGGAAAGTGTGTGATATTATCAGTTTACTGTATTATACCATTTAGCTTACGTACAGTGAGATACCAGATAATTACAGAGCCTGGATTCTCTTTCTTAAAATGAAGAATTATTCTCATTCATGTATGCACTGATACTAGGATTAAAAAAGTATTGTCGTTGTAGGTTATCGATTTTCTGGGCATTATAACAAACAAAAACTGACAAACAAACATGCAAAGTGCTGCAATGCATGTATCAAGCTTTGAATAATTTCCAAAAAATAATTTAGTTTAAGTAGCTCCTAGAATAATTTTGTTAGCTTTTCTTTGAGAGAGGACATATTGCATATTGAGACTCTATTCCTGCTACGCACTCATATCTGCCACTCAACGTTATGTGAAGCCACGTAACACCACGTAAGTCTCGTATTATTTTATGTGGTAATATTATAATATTGATGAAATATTCGATTTACCATGAAGTAAGCACCGTGCATGCACTGCATATGAAATCCATATACTGATTTGAGAGGAGAACTTACATGTTACCACTGATATCGATCGTTGAGGTGTTCAAACAAATTTTGTTTCTTTTCACGTTTTTTTCTCAGTTTTGCCAGTCATAGAGCAAGCACCAGTGATAGTGAGTACCACGTCAGCTACAGTAGGTCTCCGATGGAATGCATGGTCTGGAGAAGATGACATAGGTGATCCTCCTCTGGTAGGATATGATGTCTTTGTAGAGGAGGATGGTGAAGTGGCAACAGATCAGAGAGTAGACCAACTCACGACATCAGCCATCGTTAATAACCTGACACCCGACACAGGTTACATGTTTCGCGTAGCAGCAGTGAGGAAAGGAACAGGTGGAACAGGACCTCTGTCTCCTGGGAACAGCTCAATAACTCTCTGTAGAAGTAAGTAATGCTCAGAAGAAAAATAATTGACTCTGCCAAGGGTTTGTCATGATATCAGAGTGCAGAATAGAAATGTTAAGGATGCTTATTTTTCAGACTTTTTCAACTTGATTTGTACATTCATCCACATATAGGTACATGTTTGATATTGTTGGTAAATGATTTGTACATACATTTGGGATATCTATGCACTTTCCAATGATTGAAGGCTCTTTAAAATATCTAATTTTATGAGTAAAATATGTCACAGAGAAATGTTCGTAATTTCCATCCATACATTCTCTTTTTTAATTGTTCTATATTTTTAAAATTTGACACAGAATATTTCTTCTACAACAAAATTTCTGCGAAATATGTTAAAATGTTTATAGTACCCTTCATTGTGTTTTGCCCAATGGTAGTTTCATGTTTGATTCGTTGATATCTAATTCAAAACGACACGACGAGTATTTGTTGGAGCAATGCATGATTTTACCATAACGTGCAAGTACATGAAATGAATTCATCTATATAGGTCCAAGCCATTTAGTTTCTTCTATATAATTTTAAACTTTAGAACCCAGTGCTTCTCCAACGGGACTACTAGTGGCAGCCATCAACCCTAAAGAACTAGAGGCGACATGGGAGGTATGAACTGTTTTTAAAATAGCTTCTTAGTGACTTAGTGAAATGAAGTTGGATGAAAATAATCGTCCAGAAAACAAGTCATATTTGTATTACATACAGTTAGAACCACACTGTTAGGATATGGAGGTGATAAATACACGAACAACATTGATCAGACTTAATATTACATAAAATTTCCTCGGGATATGTCAAATAGGAAATTCTTTACATCACTGGCTATCTTTGGAAATTTCTTTCCCCACCTCTAATTTGACTAAATTAAATATATACGTCTCGTGTATTAAAACAAAATTGAACCAATTTTCATGTTTGTTAGATGAAAGAATGAGCTGCTTGGTTTATGGAGTGGATCTTTACATTTTATTTCACAGAAGGAAGCAAATATCAAAGTAATTTGTAATTAAGAGATGCCTGGTAAGCAGGATGTTTGCTTAAGTTACATAATTTTGTTTGTTAGTGTGAAAGTAAATTCATTGGATGTTGCTGTGCTGCATCCCTGGCTGCATATGTAACATGTATTTGCACTATCATGTTTCAGCACCTCCCCTCGGAATCAGCAGATTGCAGAAGTGGAGTGACTCATTATACGATCTACTATGCTGCCACTGGATCAACTTCTTCAAACACTATTTTTGTTTCTCATGACACTAGGTCCTACTTGATAAGAGGGTTAGAAACCTATTTAGACTATACTATCCAAATGACTGCATCAAATAAAGACGATGAGAGTGATAGGAGCAGTGAGACTGTCAGGAAAACACTTGAAGAAGGTTGGTGTTTAAGATGTATTTCTTGTAGGGGTTGGGGAGGGGGATTGTTGCTTGCCTGTTAAATGACTCAGTTAATATTCTTGTATATTTGTTCAGTTTCATCAACAAATTTAATTGATCTTGATAGGAATCATTCATTTTGCTAGACTGCAAACTATATGGTCCGTATACTGCTTATTCAGTAAACCCCACTCGAAGACTCGGTCTAACTTCCTTGTTAAATTCAACATCAGACAATGCGTCGGTTTTAATGTTAGAAAACTAGATGTGGACAAATATCCTTACGCGTTAGATATTGTTGGAGATCAAGAGCAATGAGATCTCAAAATATATCTTTAGAAGCGTTGTTTTACTTAACTACTACTTTATAATAATTACTATACATGACTGAGGTATTGGAGTACTATCTCCTAATCTCATTTTCTTCTAATTAGTCGCACCTGCTCCTATCAATGTGGCTAATCTACAGAGTACTGCAAGCTCATTCACTGTCACCTGGTCTACCCCTTTACCATCTAACATCAATGGTAACATCAACAAGTATATCATTCGCTACAAGCGAGCTGATCCCACTGGTGATGGTGACTATAAGATGGAGGAAGTACCAACTGGTGAATTTGAAGGAGAACATACTGTGATGGATCTGCCCAGTGAAATCAACTATACAGTTCAGGTTAGATGTCTTAACCTCAATCCTTAAGATAAGACCAAACGATTAATGGAATGTTCGAGCTCTTCATATTTTAGTACAAACTTTCCATATGTAAAACATTATTAGAATTAGCTTTCATCCTAAGGAGAAAATATAAACGCATAAGTGATTCTCTTTAATATTGGTGCCATTGATATAACAAGCAATCCCCAATTACATGTACTTGCATGATATTGCATTAAAAAAAAAATCACATTTGAATGCTTGAATGGCATTTAAAATATTTCCTTTTGTGATGCGGACGATGATTGTAGATTGGTATTGTTCTCGAGAATGTGAATAACTATCTCGTGATTTCATGGAGACATAACCAGAATTAAACCACTCTTTTGTGTGCTTCGTGTGTGGATGATATTTGTATTGTCATTATTGCTGCAACACCATTATTTGAATCTCTATGTTTGTCAGGTCCGAACTGTCAATGGAGCTGGTTCTAGTAATTGGTCCGAGCCAGTGTATGCAAAGACCACCCTCTCAGGTGAGAGCATGAAAAGAATGAAACTTTTTTTTAAAATACTGAATATCACACTTAAAAACATATATAAAAAAATATGGAAAGGTTATGTTTTTTTTAAGCAGGCACAAGTAAAATACATTCGGCAATTAATTGACTGTTCTTTCATTTTACTTAAGTTCTTTTTGTTTATAATGAAGCTTTTATGTGATTTATTTTCCTTTTTCTCACAAGAGCGCTTTGAGCATTTGATTTCACTTGGATTAGGCGCCTTACAAATATAATTTATTATTTTAATTATGTTTGAATAAGAGGTAAATTTGAAACTAAAGTCAGTATGTGACCTTCATAACTATGTAAATATATCTATAAGTATGTAGTTTATCAGTGTTGTGTACACATTTACCCTGATACATATTACTCCTCATTCTCTGTCCGGTTCGCTGGATAATTTTGGAAAAGTTGAATGTTTTTAATGCATTTTTTATATGATTGTATGTTTCATGTAAACTTGCATTTTTAGTCTTTGGACTTTTTGACAAGTCTGGAATAAAACCTAATTTGAATTTAATTGAATAGTTTGCACTTATCATATATAGATCAAAATAAGGAGAAATGGAATGTTTGAATTTAAACAATTTCTTTGCTACATCATTTTAAAAAATTAATGTAAAGAATAGAAAAAGTGTCATTTATGAAAGTAAATATTATCTACACAAAGTCGACAAAAACTTTGTGAAACGGACCAGCAATATTTTTGCATATGTGCATAATTTATGACAGCATAATGACAGCATAATGACAGCTTAATTACATGTACATGTATTTTTTTTGCCAAAAGGTACCAGGATACCGGTAGGGGCTGTGATAGGGGGTGTGATTGTACCTCTCGTTATCATCGCAATACTGATATTTGCTGTGGTGATGTTTAGAAGGTAAGTTAGCTCGACAACTCTAAGGTAGAAAAATCAGCTGTCTGATAATATTGTTACAAATAAAGAAAATAATCTATTGTAGATTAGACGTTAAAAAGGGTAAAATATTTGACCCATCTAAAATGAGCCAAAACGATAATGAATAAAGTAACTGCAGGATTTCCGTAATCTAAAGGCCACTAATATATAATGAATCGTTTAGAACTTTAGAATATGTTTGAAGGTTTTGTATTATAAGGGGCCTCCACAATCATCATGGAAAAATCGTCCTTCAGTTTATCTGATCTTTATGCTTGTGTGTGTTGATTATCTCATTGATGTTACAAAGGAGAAGGAAATGTATGTTGTTTTGAATTGAATTTCACTTCCAGGATCAAACAAAGACGTTTGAAGGATGAACCAGCCGCATCACTACCAAACGCCGAACGTGAGACCTCTCCAAAGTATGAGAACCCTGTGTTTGATGACTCCCAGCAAGACCCCAATATCTACGAAGACCCGAATGCTGACGACCATACATACCAAGATCTTAATACAGATACACCAAACTACCAGAATCGTATCGACCCCAACACCTATCAAGATCTTAAGAAACCCACCAGCAACATAACCTATCGAGATGTAACAGAAATATAGACGCAACTCAAGCGAGGCAGAGGGGTTTCGTGCCAACATTGATAAATGCTGGACAAGCCCTAATGTGCATGTTATGTACTACACAGAGTTTCCAATACGTGTATTTATCTTGATGCTCATACTATTTCATTTTTCTACATGCTCATACTACGATACTCATCTATATATTTAAATTGTTACAAGAAATATACTACGAAACTTAAACAACTACTTTCAAAATGTTATAGAAACAGCAAATATGTTATGTTATTTTTTAGATCATTACTAGCTTGCAAAATGATAGGTGAAAGGGTAGATTTATCTCTAAATTCTTCAAATTGATTTTTCTTTTACAATGCAAAGATGCCACTTTTAAATTTTTCACCACTTTTGTACAGGAAGTTTTTATCTGCTTTTTAGTTAAGGTGGTTTAACGTTGCTCATTGTCAGGCCATAGATCTCTTTCTAGATTTGGTTTCACGTGTAGAGTAAATAGATTTATTAAAAAAAAATATTTCCGAAGGCAGGACAAATATTATATTGTAAGCTCATGTAAGAATATACATGTATATAACTCAGTATTAAAGCCTATATCTTCCACAAGCACCATTGTCTAAGAATTCAGTATATTTTTTTTAAAACGCGTCGGTCAACCTTGTGCATTAGTAACTGCAGGTTAAAAAAAAATCATCATAGACCGTTAATACTTCGCTTGCTTTCCTCACCTCTATGCCAATCGCTCGGTTACCACATGTACAATTTTGCACAAAACAATATCCACCAATTGACAGAAGGATTGCTTTGTGCAAAACAATGGCTTTGTAGAATTACTTATTTCTGGTCTTCGTTAGCTCTGTGACAACCCTTTAACACTGGTACAGATTAATATTTCACTGGAACTTTCAAATATTCACGAGGTCTTTTGTTGATCTATTCCTTGATAAATACTATGTGGCATACAAAGAGTTAACTTGTGAAATAAGCTGTGATGAATAAATGAATGCAATTAGATACCCAGATTTTCCCTTCTTTTGTTCTTGTTTCCTTTTTTATAAATAGGGGGTGTAGAATCTGACCTTACGCTTCCAAACTTCAAAATATTCATACCACCCTGAAATAGTAATTGAATGCAGGTAGTTCATTTACTTTGAAGATCAAGCAGGGATGCATATAGGTACAACAAAGCACATCTGAGATCTTCCTGAAGATTCCAGAATCTCTGAATCTGATACAGCCTGTAGTCACAAAACAAAAGCTCACACCCATTAAAGATAAACTTTTGTACTGGTAATGCGATTGCATTGTGAAAGGATCAGAAACAGTTGATCATGTAGCATGTAAGTATTGGTGTGCACTGCAAGGTTCTGGGGTCATCAAAATCCTAATAAATTTGACCGAGTCTTGGTAAAGTAACAAGCACTCACATAGAAAGCTATATATGGGACAACACATTGATTCTGTGAGAATTCTTTTTTTTTTTTTTTTTTTTTTTTTTTTTACTAGTACTGGAGATTATCTTTAAAGGTAATACAAAGTTTTTGGAAATTTTGAAAATTTGGTGGATAGTGAATCTTTACAATTTTGATATATTTGGATGCCCCTGTGGATGTATTATAAGCATTAAAAAAAAATAGCCCCTTAAACACTTCTGTTTTCGAGAAAAATTGAATATAAAAATTTACCGGTGCTCCCGGTAAATTTTGATAAATTTCAGATAGCGCCCATGGCCGTACAATGGTAGCTGCGACCATGAAAATCTCAGAATATGTAGTTGGGATATATAATTTCCAAACGGGAATAGCTAATCGTTCGATTTTAGTGAAGAAACATTGTTTCATAGCTAAATTAATATCTTGACCTTGAGAGGGAGCTATACAACATAAAGAGTTTATTATTTATCAATTTACGTCAAATTCTTCACCACGAAGTGTCCTGAGCGCGCGAGCGCGAGAGAGGACGGTTCGTGGTACAGAAATATCCAATTTATTGCAAGAGGACGCTTTACGATGACGTCGTTATTACGTAACCGCGCAATGTTAGACTCTGAAATTTTCACAAAATGTAGGTATTTATTAGTACATGAAAAAAATGCAAAAAAAATAAAAATTGAAAAAAATGCCGAATTTGGCCAGAGAGGACGGTTCGTGAAACGGGTGACGATTTCATAACTTTAGACTCGATTTCAACTGCGACAACGATCAATGTATATTGTAGGAACGCATATGCTTTCAATATGTTAATTTGAACCAAATTCATGACTCCATACCAAAACTTTGTCATACCTTTAAGCTCTCCCAGTCTGTATCCCACTCCAGACACTCGTCTCTTTCTCTCTCTCTCTCTCTCTCTCCCTTCCTCTTCTCATCTTTCTCCCCATGTACTTAGCTCTCTTCTCTCCCTTCTCTCTCTCTCTCTCTTTGGCTCAATGTGGGCTGTGACTGGTTGGGTACCGAGGACACTCGTAAATTAAAGCAGGGCTCCCACTTCAGCCGAGTTGTATTGGCGAGTTATGGCGAGTTGTGATGAGTTGCCTCAAAGAGCCACAGTCGCAATAACTCGCGAATAGCTCTTCTTGTAACTCGGGATAACTTGCGACAACTCGGTATGGCTCGGCGTAACTTTTTACAACATTCCACGGCTCTCCTCGAAGTCGCGAGCAGTTCCAAAATTTTGAATATGTTCAAAATTTTCTCTGACTCGTTGTAACTCGAGGTGAACTCGCTTACAGTCGTAAAATACTCGCATTACTCGCTTCAAGCTCGCACTGCACTCTTCATAACTAGTAGCAACTCGCCACCTTCAAGTATACGCGAGTGCTATTCGAGTTTCCAAGAGTGGAGTACAAGCACGACGACCGTGCTGCGAGTCATGCCGAGTCATGCCGAGATGCCTACGATATTAACGAGAGTTTAGATCGAGTACGGGGATTTAAGGCGAGTTTCGTATGAGCATGAGCAGAGTGCAGGGCAAGCATGACGAGCATGACGAGCGCACCATGATACGTCAGCTGGCTACATTGTGCGGAAGATCAAGGCCTCCAACATATCGAGCAAATAGGCTTCTGGCATCCATCTTTATTTTGGAGAGCGCCAAAATTAGAGGCAGCCCTCTCCGGGGGGGGGGGGGGCAGGGGGGCAGGGGGGCACAGTTTTTAAGTACTCGAAATGTGCCCCTTTTTACATAGGAAAAATGCCCCTTTATCTTTGACAAGTACCCCTATTAATTTGTAAAAGTGCCCCTACCCCTTTTCACCTCTTATAAGTGCCCCCTTTTGGAATGGTAGTGGTTATTTTACCTGACTGCTAAGAAAGCATGAATGCTTGTAAGTAAGCAACCAGACGGCCGACGGCTTTAGGTCCCCTCCGTGGGACCTGGTGATGAGAATTAATGCCTTACCAAAGGGCATAAGCGCATCGCCTTGGTTTCGAACCCGGGTCACCGAATTACGAGACCACTGCTCTACCGACTGAGCTATCGCGCCTCCTCTTTTCTTTTGCCAAGTGCCCTTTTCCTTCGACAAGTTCCCATTTTCCTTTGCAATGAGTGTCCATTTTTTAATTCTCATAAGTGCCCCTTTTCACGTTAGATAAGTGCCCCCTTCACCTCTGATAATTTGCCTTATATAAATCTGAGATGTGCCTTTTTATTTTGACAAGTGCCCCTTTTCCTTTGTAAGAAGTGCCCCTTACCCTGTTAAAAACTACCCCCTTTTTAACTCGGATACGCGCACTTTATATTTTCACACGTTCCTTTTTTTTTCTAATAAGGGACCTACCTACCTGCCCCTTTTTACAAAGGAAAAGTGCTCTTTTATCTTTGACAAGTGCCCCTATTAATTTGTAAAAGTGCCCCTACCCCTTTTCACCTCTTATAAATGCCCCTATCAAAATCAGATGGGGGCCCCTTTTTCCGTCGACAAATGCCTATTTCCTATTTTCATAAATGCCTTTTTTCATCGCTGGTGAATGCCTCTTTTAGAAGGTATAAGAAGTGCCCCATTTTCACCTCTGATAATTACTCTTTGTACTTTGAAACGAGCTTCTTTTCTGATAAGTGTCCCCTTTTCCTCTCATCATTAAACACCGTGCTCCCCTAATTTTAAGCAACTAACAGCTCCGCTCGCTCGCATTCATAGATGATATATTTATGTTACTTATCAAAGGTTTTTTCAGTCTCCCGTTATGAAAATGTGCACATAACCCCATCAGGATTGGGTTTTTTGCTCATTATAAGATGTAATTTTGAGCACTGCGACCTTACAAATCTTTACACAAATTCCTCGCTCCATTCGCTCGGTCGCAAATTAACTTGAGGACCATCACACTCAACTGCAAAGTATGATGCTTAAGCAATATCTTGTACCTCAAATGCCTTTTGTACATCAAATTTCATGTTTTTCCTTTGTGATTGAGATAATATACTCCCCCGAAAGCAAGATATAGAATGCAAAATGATATTCTACTTCACATGTTATGAAGTCGGATCAAGAACACAAATAAATACGAAGAAAACAAAAAAATTGTGAAATTTTATGTACAAAAGGCATGGAGAGTTGTTCACAGATGATGTCATCAAATTGAATACCGCCCTCTAGTGACTAGTCATTTCAAAAAGCTCTTACTTCCTTATTCCTTGCCCGATTTTGTTCAAATTTTCACTGATTTTATTCAAATCTTTTAAACTTTACAATAAAAGTAACTTAGTATGAAGGTTTTGGTTTCCTTTAAGGGGATAGGGATGCCAAACACACAAACTCATTTTTGAACGCCTGAAATGTTGTTGTAGTACTCCAGCAAAGTGTTAAAAGAAAAAGACGGAACAACACGTCCACATAAAGAACTGATAAAGTTGCGAACTCATTGTGAGGGGCGAGGCTAATGATATATACAACAAACATCTTAGTCATCTCCTCTCTAGTCAGCATGAAACTAATGATAACATTGATAAACAAAAAATAATGATAACATGTTTTCACTTTCTTTTTACTTACTGAACGCTTCTCTCACACGTGATATACGTGTATATCAAACATGCCCAATTATAAGTTAATTCAGTACAGGATCTATCGTTTGAGCGAGCTATACCATGAAGTAGCTATATCATGTTACTATTGTAGGTGATGCAGAATACTGGAAGCTTTTTCGACTTACATGTGCGTTTTCAAATTTAAGAGGGTAAGATATGTATAAGTGTCTGTTGATATATCTAAAAAAAAATAGCTTTATTTTTTTTACCTGGCCAACTTCAGATCGTCATTTTCAATTCATTTATCATGTTTGTATACGCTTGTATTTACCCGGACGTATTGCTCTTACAGTTTAAAATGTTACAATACCATTTTTGTGTGAAAATGTCAACAAATTCCAATTCTTGTTTAACCATTGAATTGAATAATGAACAAAAATTGACTCGTGAGCAATGTGAACAAAAGTTCTGCTTGAAACTAAATTATTTGTCTTATTATTCTGTAACTAAAGCTAAAAAGTGTCGATATCGAATGCAAGCTGAAAAACGTGAAAAAAATGTAGTAGATCCTCTAATGCCGTCACATATCAAAATATTAGTACATGACATAAAAGGTTGTTA